CTTACCGCTCGCGATCCCAAACCGGAAGTCTCACTACACACTGTCTTAACGTAAGATCTTGTTCAGCAGCCAGATTCTACAGGAAAGAGAATTTCTCCAGTGTATGCAGACAGACAGGGGAGCTATCTATTCCCACTTCTTGGATGTTTCCTGGGCTTCCACTAGTTGGCCCTAGGGGTGCACCCACTAGTGCCTTTGGGAACAGAAATAAGTCACTGTCCTTTAAACTGATTTCAGAGAGCTGGAGGATAGAAAGAAGATCCAGCATCTTTTGGCTTTACTGGGAACAGACAGTGGCGAAGTTACCTATTTCTGCAAAGAACCACCTCACAAGGTAAGAGCACCTCTGTTAACCTACAAGACATTTTTATTTCAGGTTCTTTCTAAACTGTTCTATGTTGCCTCTGTGAGATATAAATTCTAAAATCTGTAACTGTGGAATAGCCTTCACAAAGTAACCCATTGAGCAAAGCCTAATAAATATATTGTGATACTGTAAAAGTTTCCATTGGTCAGAACCCACTTTGTCAGATATCTAGCTCAACAGATCTGCGGGGTCTTTCCTTTTTTTGAAATTGCTTATATGCTGTTATTCATTTCTTAATCTTCTGCTTTGTGAAAACTTAAGAGATGAAAAGACAGCACAATGGGTTGTAGCTCCACCTGTCTTCCAAAAGCAGGAAATGCACACAACATTATAGGAAGTAGGTGTGGCTTAGGCCTCCTCAACCCTAGTCAATGTTCTGTGTTTGTCTGAGCAACACCCCCCCCAACCAAAAAACCCTTCTCCTTTCTGTCCCCCAACACTCCAGAGCACATCTGTGGAGCAGAAGAGAGAAAGGGAAAACTTCCGTTCTGTAAGCAGAAGTCTGTTCTGTGGCCAGATGGATATCACCCCCTCTCTACCTAATTCTCTGCCTCTCTGAATTCTGTACATCTGAATGCATTCAGGAAGCTCTGACAGTGTTCACTTCAAAGTTGGCAAGCCCAAGACAAGATTGCAATTGTTTCAGCTGCCGTTCTGTGCTTCGCTTCTGACTTCATGGAGCACTACAGATGGGTGCATACAGACCAGTCCTCTCCATTGCAGGGCTAAGGGAGCAACTCTTAGGACCCAGAACACAATCCTGGTAATCGGGGGCAAGCTGACTCCTAATTCTGAAGCCCAACTCCAGCAGTGACACACCACCCATTTGGTGCTGTTGGGTGGCAGAACTAGATGAGACCTGTACATACACATGGGTAGAAGTGCCCTTCTAGGAACTGGGCTGCTAGAGTAACAAAGCTGCAGGGAGAACCAAGCCACAAGTTCATGTTGCATTCTGGGATTCAGTCATGTGCCTATTTTACTTTAGAATTCCTTTCCCTCTAAGGCTTTTTGCATCGTATTGCTACTGAAGCCTATCTCAAAAGCAGAGCAGAAAATAAACTCTCTCTGTCCTTGCAGGCCTATACCGCAAAAGCTAATCAAGGGCAGGGATTCACATGATCGAAGTGGCAAGCATACTTCAAAAGCAGGTAACTGAGAAGCTAAAAATTATTTCCATCAAATAAGACATCTGGAGAGAGAGGCTATTGTGGGCGTGGGGGGGGGGACATCTAAATAAAGGAGTGACATAGCTTTTCTTTACCAACTCAACTTTTATTTCTGCTCTAGGTATAAAACACTGTGCCACAAAACCAGCAGAAAAGGGAGAAAAACCAGAAAATGAGGATAGATACAATAAAGATGAGCAAACACTCTTATTACAGGTAAGTGGCTTTGTGCAGCCCGGGTGGACTTCTGTTACTTTTAGATCTCTAAAACCAAATAGTTCTTTCTCCATGAAAAGTCAGCTTTGCCAGTGATGGGCATGATTTTATGCACGTTGCCATCCATTGAAATCAGGGGAGCAAGTATTTAGGTCAGTGATAATCCCCTGTACCAGGGGTCAGCAACCTTTTTCAGCCGTGGGCTGGTCCACCATCCCTCAGACCATGTGGTGGGCTGGACTATATTTTGGGAAAAAAATATGAGCAAATTCCTATGCCCCACAAATAACCCAGAGATGCATTTTAAATAAAATGACACATTCTACTCATGTAAAAACACCAGGCAGGTCCCACAAATAACCCAGAGATGCATTTTAAATAAAAGGATACATTCTACTCATGTAAAAAACACGCTGATTCCCGGACCGTCCGTGAGCCGGATTGAGAAGGCAGTTGGGCCGGATCCGGCCCCCGGGCCTTAGGTTGCCTACCCCTGCCCTGTACGATGGGCCATCCTCAGGGAGACAGAGACGCCTTTGGGAGGTGAGTGGAAGAACAGCTCTGAACATTTTCTTTGACCCTGTGACCCTCCCCCAACTCTAGTGGACCCCTGACCATTAGGTCCAGCCATGACCGACTCTGGGGTTGCGGCGCTCATCTCGCTTTATTGGCCGAGGGAGCTGGCGTACAGCTTCCAGGTCATGTGGCCAGCATGACTGAGCCGCTTCTGGCGAACCAGAGCAGCTCAAGGAGACGCCGTTTACCTTCCCACCAGAGCGGTACCTATTTATCTACTTGCACTTTGACGTGCTTTCGAACTGCTAGGTTGGCAGCAGCAGGGACTGAGCAATGGGAGCTCACCCCATCACAGGGATTCGAACCGCCAACCTTCTGATCAGCAAGTCCTAGGCTCTGTGGTTTAACCCACAGCGCCACCCACGTCCCTTCAACTCTAGTGTACTTACTGCAAAAAAAAAGTGGTAAGCCAACTCAGGTGGGCTTGAAGCTCTTCCTGTTCCTTTTGCGAAGTGGTCCTCCCAGAGCTTTGCTCCAAGGTCCTGTCCCAACAGCACCACCGGGAAGAGAGGAGAGGAAACATTCCTTCCATTAACTTTCTTCCATTAACTTATCTTAAACGCTAGCCAACAAGAAGTATATCATTGCTTAATTTTATTCCTTAAATTTGTATCCCAACCTTCCTCCCGTAGGAGCCTAGGGCAGCAAACATCAGACTGTTAAAACAGCACAATTTAAAACAAATTATTAAAACATACTTAAAGCCATTCTAGAACATTAACCCCATCACCTTCCAGTGAGTTAAAGCAAAAGTACAATTCGTGTTCGTGTTTTTGTTCCTGTTGTCAGTCAGTAAGGCACTCCTGTGGTATTTGTTTTCAGGTATGTGCTCTCAGGCATCTTAAAACAATACTGTAAATTTATTTGAGACCCTGTTCTTTCTCTTTGCTTATGATCTCATCACACTCAATTAAACTTTGATCTTTGCTTTAAATGCTCAGAGCCCAACAGTAAAAAGAGAGAGGCTACAATATTCAGAGAAGAGTTGTCCTGTTTTGCATTGGACTTCAAAAAATTTAAATCTTTACTTAGGGTGGGCTGATTGTGACAACAGCCCCACCCCTCCATACTTGTAAGCCAGTGTAGCTGATCTATTAGCAACTCATTCATATGGTGATGAATCAAGTGCATTTGAGAAAAGGGAGGGAAATGGGGCTAAATGGCCTCCAGATCACTGGTTTGTCATATGACAATTGCAGTAATCATGGTCAGTGAATAGCAATGATCATTGAATTAGTAAAGGAACTTAAAAACAGAGTTCATTGATTCGGGTACTTAGCTGCCTTATTTCTCTTTCATTGTAGTGCTTGACTGCCCAATCTATCATACGATTTCTTAGCTTTCCCAATTGGTTTCCAGTATTGTTTTTATATTCCAAGATTGACAGTTTAGGTAGGTATGAAGCTTTTTATTGTGCAAAACCTAGAGTTTCAGTGTTATTTTTATAGCTGAATAAAGCTGCTTTAAAGTTGCCTGTTAAAAAGCAAGAACAAAAAAACAAATCGAACATCAAATGCTACTCATTTTTTCCTTTTTTGGTCTTTTAAAAAATGCAATTGCAAGAACCTGACCCGGATTACTTTGCAAATGCATTTTTTTTACCAAATGACTTCCATAATGGTCTCACAACAGGAACAAAAAATAATATCCATGCTAGCTCTTTCTAAGGTCCATCTAGTTCAGCATCAAGTCTTCCATTGTGACAAAGAAAGAAATGACGAGAAAGTTCATAAGGAGGGTATGAAGCCGTTTTTCTGCTATTCTCCAGCACCTAGCTGCTCTGGACAGGTTTCTAAGAAGGTGGAAATCGCACTTCTGAACATTACGGCTCCCAGTTATTCTTTGTGAATAGAACAATGTTAGCTGCTCTGCCAGAGGAAAACATAACAGAAAATTCTACCCGCTTTTCTGTACTTGTTTAGGTTGAAGCTCTTCAAGCTCAGCTGGAGGAACAGGCCAAGCTGTCCAAGGAACAAACTGAAGCTTTGCTGGAGGACAGACGGATCCGAATAGAAGAGTCTCTGGTCCAGCATCAGAGGGACCAGGAGAAGATCAAGGAGCTTACTCAGAAGTAAGTGCAAGAAGAATGTGTCTTTGCTTTCAGTCTGAATACAAATCATTTTATTCATGGTATTTTACTTACATTTCTATCCCACCTTTTTTCATTGTGGAACCAATGGTGATGTACATGTGGTTCTTAGGCAGTCACCCACCTAGGTACTGACCAGACCCAGACCTACTTAGTTTCAGCAAGGTGGTCACTTCTTGTGCCTTCATAGCATATTGTGGGACCAATAGAAAACAAACCTTACTGTGATGGGCAGAAGTGCTGGTCAACTGTATTAAGACAGTGCATGGACCTCCTACTGGCGTTGATTTGATACTGTGTGAAGTCACAGGGTACTTTGTGTCTCTCGTAGCAGGTATAAAGTGGCAAACATAACATGCGGTAGAAACCAGTCATACATTTGCACTGTCCTACTCCTTAGATATGAACTTGAACTCATTATATGCATGCATACAGATAGCTCTTGTCAGTAGAGCATCATATTTTTAATATGGTCCAGGGTTTGGGTCGCCACTCAGGTATGGAAGAGAAGCATGGCTCTGGGTGCTGGCTTTAATTTGAGGGAGGGTTCACAGCTCAGTTGTAAGGCACATCCTTTGCATACATATAAGGTCCCAAGTTAGATAACCGGATCTCCAACTAAAGGAACTTGTGTATGGTAAGTCTGATGAGCTGCTGACAGTCAGAATAGACAGTATTGAACTAGATGAACAAATGACTCCAATATAAGGCATGGATCAAAGATTCTAATATAAGACAGCCTCTTTATGTTGAGGTCCCTCACAGTGGTTTCATGTGGGTCCAAAGCCAGGGACAGCTGCCCCTTGACAAAGTGAATTGCACTGTCAAGCCATTGATCCCCACCCCGATTTTTAACTGGGATAATGGAAGAGCTGGGGAAGAAACTGGTGACCGGTTCATTGCCATTCCTCTCTCCAGTTACCACAAAGTTCAGAACCTGCTGCACGAGAGCACCAGAGATTTTCTCCAGATGAAGTTTGATGCACGGGCAAATGAGAAATCCTGGATGGCAGAGAAGGACATGCTGCTGAGGAAGCTGGACAAAAGAAAAGGAGCACCCAAGTGGAGCAGGATCCGGCAGGACAGCGGCCGAGGTCGGGAGGACATCAAGAGAAGGCAGGACGGCGGCCGAGTGTCGGAGGACATCAATAGAAGCCAAGACAGCGGCCGGCGAGACAGTGGCCAAGGTTCAGGAGACATCAGGAGAAGGCAGGACAGTGGCCAGCAAGGCATCAGCCCTGGGCGGTGGGACAGCAGCCCGGAGCAGTGGGACAGCAGCCCCGAACAGTGGGAAAGCAGCCCAGAGCGGTGGGACAGCAGCCCGTACCGGTATTCTATTGGCAGAGTTTCTCCTGGCAGGAGGAAAATGCAAGACAGAGGTGCCAAGCACGTTTCACGAGCAGAGCATGAATGCCGTAAACGATACTGTGCAGAGATTAAGGTAACAGGGACTGCTATAAACTAACTGTGCTTTCTGAAGGTTTAAACATATATTACCATGAAATGTCAACATCCCCTGGTGCCGTGGCACATTGAGATGTAGCCTATTATTATTATTATTATTATTATTATTATTATTATTATTATTATGTTTTATTTATACCACACCCTCCCCAGCCAAGACCAGGCTCAGGGCAGCTAACACCAGGTATAAAAACAATTGATTAAAATACAACTTAAAAACAAGATTAAAAGACAGCATTAAAATGCAACCTCATTTCAGTAGAAACTCAAATCAAAAACTTTTTGGGGATGAAAACGTCAAATCTTCACCAAGGCCAGCTATCCAGACTGGTCCTGCATGGGCCAGAAAAAAGCCAGTCCTGCCCTGCCAGTCGTGTCTTCTTTTTTAATTCCACGGTATCAAGAGTAGCTTTTTCCTCACCACAGGAGGATATTGTGCTCAAGGCCTGATTGTGAACTTCCCAGAGGCATCTGGTTGGCCACTAAGAGAACAGAAAGGTGGATTAGATTAGCCTTTGTTCTGATCTAGTGGGGCTGTTCACTTGGTGATGTAAAAGTTTGTATAAGATCTGCATCCAGGTTGTTGATTGGGGCCGGTTACAGGGGACATACGTCTCCCTTGTTACAGCAGCTCCACTGGCGACTGGGTCTGTTTCCAGGCACAGTTCAAAGTGCTGGTTATGACCTGTAAAGCTCTGCCTATCTTGGGTCCAGGCTGTCTGAAACAACGTATTTCCTCATACAAACTTGCCCAGGTTTTGAGATCTCCAGGGGAGGCCCTTCTCTTGATCATGCACCCTCACAGATAAAGCTTGGTAAGGATGCAGGAAAGGGCCTTCTTGGTGGCTGCTCCCATATTTTGGAAACTCCCTCCTAAAGAAGCTAGACTGGGCTCTCTCCTGCTGTCTTTCCACCAGCAGGTGAAAGACTTTCTTGTTCCAAAAGGCCTTTAGGGAACTGATTGCTTTTAATGAAAGGGCTGGTCCCTATGCTGTTTTCATTGTAATTATTGGTATGTTTTTATATTTTTTATATATGTATCTAGTTTTAATTCTATCAATTTTTAAAAAATATTATGTTGTTAGCGGTTCTTATTTTTATCTGTAAGCTGCCTTCCCATCAGGGAAAAAGGCAGAGTATAAATAAATACTGTATTTTTTGCACCATAACACTCACTTTTTTCCTCCTAGAAAGTAAGGGGAAATGTCTGTGCATGTTATGGAGGGAATGCCTACGGGTGGTGGTGGGGATCTGCTGCAGTTGTGAGCAGAGGATCCATGGTTCCCCTTCCTTCCCTCCTCCGTGGCTCGCTTTGAAACAGCAAAGCGGGAGAAGAGCCGCTGAGTGGGGAGGAGAGAGGGACAGAGAGCCTGCTTGCTTTAAAGGAGCAAAGCGGGAGAGGAGAGGAGCCGCTCACACGAGTGTAAGTGGTTCCTGTCTGGTTGGCTCCTTTAAAGCAAGCAGGATCTCTGTCCCTCTCTCCTCCCCACTCAGCTCGCTAAATAGCAGCAAAGTTTTTCAGCTCGCTAAGCCGGGGATGAGCGGGGAGGAGGGAGAAAAGCAGAGCCTGCTTGCTTTAAAGGAGCAAAGTGGGAGAGGAGAGGAGCCTTCTCCCCTTAAACCCCTCTTCTGCATTATTAGCAGCATCCTTCTCCACCCACCCCACACGTGCTTCTTCTCCCCTTAAACCCCTCTCCTGCATTATTAGCAGCATCCTTCTCCACACACCCCATGCGTGCTCCTTGTCCCTTGAGTGCTTTTTCTTCCCTCCCCACTTAAAACGTGGTTACAAAGCACCGATCCACATGGATCCTCAGGATTTTTGCACTGGGTCACCCCAAATTCACCATTAGATCACATAGCATGTCCATGGCTACATCTTGCACCAAAAAAATCACGCACCCACTGTTGCCTGGGGCCGTAGTGGTGCAAAAACGTGGTTACAAAGCATGGATCCACATGGATCCTCAGGATTTTTGCATTGGGCTACTCCAAACTCACTGTCAGATCACATGTCTGTGGCCACAGCATGAACCACAAAAATCATACATCCACTGTTTCGTTTAGAATATTTTTTTCCTTGTTTTCCTCTAAAAACTACGTGCGTGTTACGGTCTGGTGCGTGTTATAGAGCGAAAAATACGGTATGCAATAATAATAATAATAATTCCTGACAGGTTGAGAGTGCCTCTTTCCTTTATTATCATTAGTAGTTATTCATAGTATTGTATGTAATTCATTCATTCCTTTATAGCATATCACTTGTCGCTGTTGTTGAAAGACTGAAAAAATGGGTCTGTTTTAGTGTGCAGTGGAGGGGAAAGGGGGTTAAGAATAGTCCTCAGACACACAAATAGTTATCTGTGTTCATTGTCCAGGCAACATACACACAACTCCGAACATAGTTCAGTTTGGTGCCCATTGTTCATTTGCTGCCGTGCAAAGTTGACTTGTTGAATTCTAAAGTGTTGCAACTAGAGCATGTGAGCTAAGTACTATTAGTGTCTCAAACCAGCTTAGCTTTAAATCAAGCACAGGGTGGTCCTGCTAATGCCCTTCTTTGTCACAATAGAAGCCACTAATTATTCAGGGTGATCTAGTTGCCTTCATAGTGCTGTTTAGGAAGGAAGCACTTCTGCATAAGGTCTCTCTCTGCTTTATAGCATTTTATAAGCCAAGGTGTATATATATATGTGTGTGTGTGTCTCAATCACAGAGGCTACAGGAGCGATTAACACAGGAACAGCGGCTATCAAACATGTTCCGAGAGCAGTGCGTTTCCCTGGAAGAGCAGCTGGCTAAGATTCGAGAGGAAGGAGATGTAGGACGAGAGATCTTCAAGGTAATGCCTTGCCCTGCTGCTGTCAAGCTTAGCAAGCACTTGGCATGCTGTGATAGTCTCCTCCATCCTCTTTATTGCAAGAGTTATTCACGGGATCTGTAATCTTCTGTTTGCTTTCAAAAGGAACGCTCAGAAAAGATGGGGAAGCGCCTGCAGCTGATGACCCAGCGCTATGAGGCCTTGGAGAAGCGGCGTTGCATGGAGGTGGAAGGCTTTAAGACAGACATCAAACAACTTCGGCAAAGTCTGAAGGGGTAGAGCGACTGCTTTTCAAGGTAAGTGTTGTTATGACCAGGAGAAGGACAGGAGTGAGATCCACTAGGGTGGATCCTAGACACGTATAATAAACACTGTGAAAATCCTTTTTTAAAAAAACGTTTTGAAAAATATATTGAATTTGCCATAGCTCGCTATCGCCATCTAGAGTCACATTTGTATAATGCACTTTACAACACTCTTAAAACGTTTTGTTTGCAGTTGTGTTGTTGAGTCCTAGGTAGAATTAATTTTGAATGTTCAGACAGATAATTCCTCTGGTGCAATATTCAATTCTGTTACAAGGAAGAAAAATAAACAAACACTGGCCTACAACTAGAAATGCAGCTAGCTGTGAATGGAGATGTTCAAAATTGATCTGGTATCCTTTCGCTATAGTTTTGACTGGCCTTTTAATGAGTTTGTGGGACAGGGATTATTGGTTTGCTTTTGTTCTATTATGCATTTTGTGTTCTCATTTTTTATTTTTATGTTGTGTACCATCCAGTTTTTTAAAAACAGATAGAAAAATGGGGTGAGGGGAAGGCTTGGATGGCCACAAACCTTTTGGCAACCCAACAGGGAGACCCACAAAAGCAGTCAAGAAAGCATTTTTTTAACCCTATAAGTTTTTTGAAAATGACGAATTGCAGGAAGGGACAGCAGTAGCCAACAGACCCCAGGATAGCCAAACCACAGTCTAGAGCAGGCTTCCTCAAACTCAGCCCTACAGCTCCCATGAGCCCTAGCTAGCTGGACCAGTGGTCCGGGATGATGGGAATTGTGGTCTCAAAACTGGAGTTTGAGGAAGCCTGATCTAGAGGATACCAGGTTGACTTAACCCTGCAATAGTCTAACCTGGAGATAACAAGAACAGAAATTACCACGGTGAGATCCAGCTTTTTTTCGGGAAGCGTTGTAGTTGCCATACTAGCTGAAGCTGGAAAAATGGTTCTCCAACTCAGTGTTGCTACTATTTTTTAAAGGACTCTTCTTCCTTTGAGGACACAAAGAGTGCTAGACTAAGGTGGAAGATGCTTGTGTGGGACTATACAGGCATTTGATCCTGTCCATTATCTTCTTCATTTAGGGTGCCAATGCACCTTTTGTAAAATAATGGTCAAGTTGACGGAACCTTTATATATCCATCTGTTTTTTTTCCCTCTCTAGGTGACGGCAAC